CCCCCCCCCCCCCCCCACGACCAAAGAAAAGTGCGCGATTGCCATAGAAAATTAGTCCAGAATTTTTTGCATTTCATGCAACGAGTTGCTCATTATCAGTTACCTTTCAACCTTGCTGTCTAGTAAGCCCAACAGTACCGGAAGTAAGGAAGAAAACAACTCTAAGGTAACAATCTCCTTTCTTTCAATGAGAACACTAACTACATCTGCTTGTACCTGCACAAAATTACAATTTGTAGGAAACATATTAGATGTTTTAAAAAGTTGAAACTGTTGCTAACAAAAGTAGGAAAATAATTTGAACATTCTCCAGTGAATACACACAGCTTGATCAGGCAACTTCTTCAAGGCATTGAATGCACCCTTAATGTCATTCTTTTCCCAAAAATGTCGAACTACCTGCAAGGTGTTCAGAAAGATCGTTCTTGAATCTCCATGAAAAGTTTCGCATAAAAATGTTATATATCTACAAAAGGCATAGATTGATAAAGTATAATAACAAATAGCCCCACCAAATCTGAGTACCATAAAGAAAGCACCAGAGCAGTGTTACATGAAAGCTAATAGAACCTTATCAATGGGTAAATAAGTTCACAAACAATTAATACTCCCTCCAATCCGTCCCTAACTAATTGACACAATTTGACTTCACGTAGTTTTAAAAAAGTGATGAAAAGTAAAACATGAGGGGTTGTGAAATTTGTTTAGAAGAAAGAGAACAAATGTGGACCACATCTTTTACTTTATTAGGAAAGTAAAGAAGTGTGTAAATATTTTTGGGACAACCAAAAAAGGGAAGTGTACGATTTAATTGGGGAAAGAGGAGTATTGGCTATCAACCAAAAATTACCTGCAACTTTGTCAGTCGTGACCTTAACCTACTTAAAAGGGTGTCATGATTCTGCATCACGTTTTCAATGATACTAATATCACTTACAGTTGTCTCACCCCTTTCCTCAACTTGCATATTAGGAATCTGCATATACTCAAATAGCACATGAGGGTTGGATGAATTTGACATATTGTGCCATAACGAAATGCGGATACTTGTAACTTATACCATACCAATATGAAGGCATTATACAATAGTACAAGACTAGAAATGAAGCACAAAATTTTACCGGTAATGTAATTTCTTTTGCTTCCTCGTCCGTAGAATCAGGAACTGTGTCAGAAGTATGGGCATCACCAGCTCCCAACATTTCTCTTCTGTCTAGCCTCTCAGCCTAGCGGGAGGGATCACAATAGAAAAAAAAAGTTCAATGCTAAATAAAATAATCAAAAGTCCTCTGCATTACTCCTTTGACTCTCTACAACAGACGGTTTATAGGTGTTATAAACTTATAATAGAAGAAAATTAAAAGAAGAAAAAGAATACCAGAGGAGATGAATTTGATTCCTCTGGTTTAGATCGAGGAGCTTTATGAGGAATTTTGGCAGCATCAGCTTTCGACATTCGTCTTCTATCAAACCCCTCACCCTACAAATATCCTCCATACAAAAACAAATCAAGGCATAGTACTTGCGCATTGGCATTTCAAATACTGTTTGGTTTATTTTCTCTCTTTAATTCTCTATGCAGGACACATTTGGTAAGTTGGTAACAGAATATTATTGAAATAGGATCATAATCATACATGTGAAGGAGGGGTAAGCGGTGCTCTTTCTTCCTCCGGTTTAGAAAGAGGAACTGTACCCGTAGTTTGGGCATCTTCAGTTTTCACCCTTCCATCTTTATCAACCCTCTCACCCTGAATGCAAGGATTTTTTTTAAAATGTCAAACTGGAATGCCACCACAATGCATACAGAAAGTAACTTTCTGCAAAGCTTCCTTGGTTTTGCTTCTACACTTAGGAACATCCTAGATATGAAGAATCCCACTGAAAAGACAAAATATTTCACCTGTAACAGGGATGTTTTTGCTTCTTCAGGTTTTGAACAAAGAACTGTGTCAGTGTGGCGGGTATCAACGTGTGGTATTTCTCTTCTCTCGAATCTCTCAACTAAACTACGTGTCCTTCCTGGTGCCACAGCCACTGGCAATAAAATAGTATGAATAATAATTGATTAGTAACACAAATAATAATAGTAAATAATACTCCTGAGTAATAATAATAATAATAATAATAATTACAACAACAATAATAATAATAATACGAGTAAAAATATAATAAAAATAATACTCTGTAATAATAATAATAATAATAATAATAATAATAATAATTACAACATAAAATAAGTTAACAACAACAATAATAGTTGTACTCCATAATTATTAATTACGACATTGTTCATTCATTTTGCTCACAGAACTGCAAGCAAAACAATGACAGATCTTCATGAAAGTATCAGATACACTAATTACATCCTGGATTTCAGAACATCAAACAAATGATTGCAGAAGACATTATTCCATGTGTATCATTAAATTCTTCTTCAAAGGTGATAAATAGTGTATTCCTAATACGGATAACATTTCATTAAATTTCCTAGCAGGCTAGCAACAACAACTTTTATTCATTTTGCAAACAGAACTGCAGACAAAGAATAGATCTTTAAAAAAAAGTAATAAATACATTACATACATCCTGTATCACAGAACTTCGAACAAACGACTACAAAAGACAATTTCCATTGCTACCATTATATATATTTTCAAGAGTGATAAATAGGGTATTCCTAATATGGATAACACTTCATGAAACTTCAGCATTCATTTCCTTCGCAGAGAGTACAAATAGTTATGACTGAGGTAACTATCAATAATTATCTTGGCCCATGGTACTGGGTTGCATTTGTCTTCCTTCTACATCTGGTGCAGCCATTTTAAACCAAATTAAAAAATGCATCTACCTCTTCATCCTACACTTCTATTTAATAATCTTATTGATTGAGCTATATTCCTCGAAGTTTTTCATATACCAAGCATGGAGCATAATAATTCTTCCACATAGGCAATATAGGCAACCTTCTACTATATCAACTAAATGTGATGATAGAGAACAACAAGCAAAAAACAAACCCAGTAAAATCCCACAAAGTAGGTCTAGGGAGAGTTTCAATAAATGTCATGATTGAGAAAATGCACATAATTAGGAAATTGTATTTGATGCACAACTGACAGTTTTTTAGGAACAATTGACAGTTAATATTATTGAATGGACTGTATTTTCCTTTCATGAATGTAGTATTCTTTTCATATATAGAACTTAAGTGGAGTTGTCAAATATAAGCCTATAGAACCCGTCCAAATTATTATATATTCATACTTGACAAATTTATGGGACATCCAAAAATAAGTTAGTATAGGTTTTGACTTTTGACTTTGAGGGATGGAAAGAGTATGTAAAAAAGAATTGTTAATCAAGAGTGATAATATAATTTCCTCGAGTTGGTAATAATGAAGGAACTCTAACTATTTTTGGAAGCAATACTAATGCTTATTTTTTAGGCCATAGTTGCCTAGTTGGTGAGAAAAATCCCTAAAAGGTGGTAACTTGATGATAATAATTAATTGTGAATTACTCTAGTAAAACAAGGTCAACAACAACAACCCAATTGGATCCTACAAAAGTATGGTCTGCTGGCTGGGTACGCAAACCTTGCCCCTACTCAAAAGTAAAGAGGCTCTTTCCAAGAGACCCCAACTCAAGCTGCACAAGTAAAAAGATCCCACGAGATAATAAAGCACATGAGATAATGAAGCAGAGAAAAGATCATAGAAGATAAGAAAGCACAGATACAGCACGGATGAGAACAAACTAGAGTTAACAAAGGAAAAATATTGACATCAAAAAGCACCAAACATACAAGGCATACAAAGCACGCACACAAGTACAAAAGACTACCCCTCCAACCCGAGCCACCTAGCCAACTACTCTAATCATATCTCTCCAAACGCTCCTATATAAAGTCATATCCTAAGTAAGGGCAAGAAGCCAAGAAGTCCCAAGTCTTGTCTAATAACCTCCTTCTAGTTCTTCTTAGGTCTACCTCTTCCCCTACTTTCCCACCACCAACGTAAGCCTCTCGCGTCTACGCACTAGGGCGTCAGCATTCCGCCGCCTCACATGCCCAGGCCACCTCACATCCTATCCAATCTCGTCTGCCCACACAATCACCGTAAAACAAGGCCATGTGATACAAACCAATGATGACAAATTTAATGAACTTGCCTGTTGCTTGACATGGGGTTGCTGAGTGTAATACAGGTTTCTCCGACTTCTCGTCATCATTTTTAACAGTCGATCCTTTTTCCTTGAAGGTATTCTGAATTGGCTCTGGCTCAATTGTTTTCTCCATATCAAAGTTGTTTGATGACCTCTTTAGATGAGACCTCTTCATGGGCAAACTGGCACTGGCTGTAGGAGTCAAACTGACTTCCCTTCTAGGACTGGCCAAGGCCCTTCGATCTGGATTGTCATGAGGAACCAGAACTGGGGCAACGAAAGACTTATTGTTGGCAGGTCCTTTGGTTTTTCTCTTCACCACTTTAACAGAATTCTGCTTCTGAGTGCCTAAAGGATCACTCTCCTTACAATCAGGTTGGGGCATAACATCAGTAGAATGAAGAGAACCAACCTCCTTGGTAGTGACAGGATCTTCACCTGCACAATGAAATATTTAATATTAGTTATTGTTAAATATATAAAATATACCCCTCTGTCCCCCAAAGAACTTTACACCTTTTTTTCGGTCCATCTCAAAATAAACTTAACACTTCCCTGATTTTTTTAAGAAATATGTGGCTCACAGCGATCCTGAGCTTCTCGCTCTTCTAAACTAATTACAAACACTCACTTTTCAAATTTCAGCACTTTTCAAAAACTCCATGAAGTCAAAGTGCCAATTTCTTTTGGGGAAGGAGGGAGTATAACACATCACTAAAAATAAGGATAGGAAAATGCACCATAAAATCACAGAATTAAGATACAAAGTTAAAGAAAAGGTTATCTATTTCAAGAGTAAACCTCCACATTTTGCATTCTCTGCATAGTCCTAATCCTGCTTTTAGATAAAAACCAAATGAGAGACATTGTAATATACAGGCTCTTAAGTTTCAGCATTTGGCATCTAAATGCATAATAGTGGCATATATTATCAGTTCAAGAATCCACCACTGGCAGAGCTAATTATGGTTGCAAATCATATTTGCTTAAAATGTTCATTAACTTACGATCGACATATATATTCTTTATATCTTTGGAATCATTATCGGGAGATGAGCAACGGATACTTGAATTTGAACTTCTATTGCTCCCTAATATCTCCACTGCACTTTCCTTTTGTTCATGTTTTTGCTCCAAGTTGCTATTCTGATTGGCATTCATAGAAGAACCATACGGTTCAATGAGCTGACATAGGAAAAAATACATTATTGAAGGGGGATATATAAGGATACTCTAAAATGTGAAAACAAACAAAAAGGTAAAATTTGAGTTCTTAAACATTCACATTTTAGAGGTAAGTACCGAAATATCTGCTACCCAAAGCCCTACTGAGCTCTGGTAATATGTACCACCCAAAAGTTTTCCATCATGAATGCAAAGATCACCAAGCGTTGACCATCCCATATCAATAGAATCATGACAAAGTACAGGTTCCCATGAATACACCTAAAGTTCAGAGGAAGTGAACAATGTAAGCACTACTTCCATTGTCAATGCGAGGGTGATAATTTCATTAGAGGAAAGACTTAACCTTCAGACTATCATCTAGTCCACAAAATAAAGTTGTTCCATCAGGGTGAAAGGCCATTGAACGTACTCCTGTAGCCTGTAATCCAAACAAAGTCATGCAATCTGTTCAAAGCTATGCGTAATTGACAATTTAAAATACCTACATAAACTGAAGGTATAATGTCATACATAGCCTACTTAGAGTTTCAACTTCAACAAGTCAGCCAGCCGATGATGGGACCGGCAGTAAGGACCTGTTCAGCCAGCCAGCCGATCATGGGGTCTAGAATGGGTTCATCAATGTGCATGTGGCTATATGCTAACCCACAAGCTATAGGTCTAGGGATAGATATAGGCTAGGTGGTGTGTGGTTGCAATAGCAGACATGCCACTAGCCTAGAGTTAGGTGTAGGCCAAGTACAATCCAATCATGAATTCATACGTGCACATGGCCAACAAGGGCACATGCAAGACCAAAGGGTATGGGATGGAGTATTGGGCAGCAAAGGGTGAACATGAACACAAGGTTAGTGTGGCCGAAATGAAGATGCTTCATTGGATGAGCGGTCTTACGCGTATGGATAAAATAAGGAATGAAGATATGAGAGCTAAAATTGGAGTGGCACCTATTATAGAGAAGATGGTGGAAGCCCGTCTAGGGTGGTTTGGACATGTAGAGACAAGACCTATAGAGCATCCGGTGAGAAGGGTTGATCAAATAGTGGATAGACGTGTGGTTAGAGGAAGAGGTAGACCTAAGAAAACTTGACACGAAGTGATCAAAGGAGACCATCGCGTGAATGATCTCGCTACTTGACCGGGCGCAATGGCATTGTTTGATCCATGTGGCCGACCCCACCTAGTGGGATAAGGCTTGGTTGTTGTAGCTACATGGAAGAGGGAGTGATTCTGACTAGGTTCCGGCTTATCAGAATTTTGAATCCTTTTACGTTCCCCATAACTAAATTAGATTTTAAAATATAAAATACAGAACAAATAAGGGCAAAAGGAAGGACTAACATACTTCACGCCTCACAGATCCAATCATTTCAAAATTTTCCAAATCCCAAAACTTTATAGTACGATCTGCTGAACCTGGATAGCATGTAGAGCACTAGGTTCAATGCACAGAAGGACCAAATGTTCTCGATTGAAATAAAATATAAAACATTATGCTTAAACATATACAGTGAAGCCAGATATTTGTAGTTATATACACGAGCATATTCGTAAGGATGGAACAAATAGATCCACAAGTTCCATGCCTCATGACATATGCAAGCTCAGATGAAACAACTCTTTATTGACAGCTAGTTCAGTAGTTCTTGCATTATAGTTGTAGTACAATGTGTCATCTCCAAAAATGAATATATCGTCTGCTGTTGCAGGAGTTCAGTTTTGTCACAAATACAACAACAACCCAGTTGAATCCCACTAATGTAGGGTCTGGGGAGCGTGTGTGTGTATGCATACCTTACCCCCACCCAAAAGTAGAGAGGCTGTTTCCAAGAGACCCCCGACTCAAGTAACACAAAAAGCCCAAACTCATAAAAGATACAGAAAGACACATACAATAGAGTAACACAAGTACAAAAAGCCAAGACAACTAATACTATAGAGGGGTTTCGCACACACCTGTTGCCAGAAGAAACTCAAGGGGATGGAAATCTATGGATCGAATATGCCCTTCATGTTTGAAATCATGTAAAAGCTTTCCAGCTGTTAGATCCCATACCTGACCAAAGGAAAAAAAATATGGTATGGCAAAAGCAAAGAAAAATACGCATTTGTTCCAAAACTAGCATAGAAAGTACCTTAACAACGTTATCAAATCCACCAGAAACTACCCATCGACCATCAGGAGTGAATCTTATTGTGCTGATTCCTCGTGTATGACCTTTGTAGGTGTGTATACATCCTTTCTTTCTTACATCCCATATCTTTAGGTTGGTATCCATAGACCCGGAAGCAAAAAATTCCCCAAACGGATGAAATTCAAGAGCAGTGCAATATGATCTGTGTCCACTGAGAGTGCGAATCACTACACTTCGAGAATAACCGAAAGATTAGAAGTTCCATTATTAGAGCTCACACTATTGTAGCATGTAAGTCACATATAGACACGGAGAAATCAGGCTTGCAAGTTGCAACCGTTACAGATGAAAATAAAGAACTTGTTGGAGCTACATAAACACAATCCAGGATTACACTTCAGATAGTAAGTGTTTCGAATGCATGCAAAGTGTGATATGCTCTATATCTCTGTGAAACGAAATGCATGCAACTAAGTCACTTATGAAGCTAATTGAAAAGCAGGCTTACTTTTTGTATCCTCTAGATCCCACATCTTTATTAAACCAGATGAAGCTCCAGCAGCCACAAAAATTTCTGCAGAATCAAAAGCTACGGATTCCACTGGACTTGTGTGGCCAGAGAAGGTCTGCAAAGTTTTTTGAGAGAATGATTCTTAGCTACACAGCTGAATATCATGAGGATATCACAACATCAATATTTTTTAGCCAAGTTATTTCTAGGGGAAGTCAACTTTTCAGCACTTCCCGCAACAAAAAAAAAGAATGTGTTTAAAAATCAGTTATCTGCTAACGGTATTTCCATGAATCCTTAACTTGTAGAAAATATTACATGGATGAAAGTGAGGTTGAGTCATGGATGCACACTATTAAACCCTTCATGATGAAATAACTAGTTTTTCAAGGAAATAGTACTCTATCAGAAATTATAAAAAAACGAATAACTTTGTAATAAAATCATTTGAAAACTAATACTCCATAATAAATTTATAACAATAACTTGAAAAGTAGAATATGGGCAAGGATAACAAACTCCGATGAAATAATAAAAATAGTAACGCTTATAATTTGGTCAAAAATGCATTGTTAATCTCCCATATACTTTCATACATTTTGCTCTTGAAATATGAAATCCAAAATCATACATACATAAGAATTTGTTTGTGAACAAAATAAAAAGACCACAATCAAGCAAAAGCTATGAAAAGATCAACGTATCAACTTACTGACGAAGAGGAGGTTGGTTTGCCAATTGACCAAAGGTTCACACTTTGATCATCGCCCCCCGTAACAAACAGCCGACATGTCTTCTTACCAAACCTTAAACAGTTCACATTCCCGGAATGTGCCACAAACTCCTCTATATCCATTCCAGTCAAGAACCACAAAAAAATAACATAAAACTCCTCGTATGATGCCTTAACCAACATAACGGTCCTTCTATATAGTGATATAATAACCTTACTTCTACTCCACTCAATTCAAACGGTTAGGAACATGAAGAAAAATAGAAACTAATTCAACAAAGTTAAACCAAATGTTTCCTCTTGAGTCAATCTAAATGTTTTACTTGTTTAGGCCCGGCTACCATTTTCAGAAACAACTCAATAGTGAAATAAACAAGAGAATCCATTTCATCCGGAGATTATTAAATCCCACCTTCAACTTTCCCAAAAGCCAAGATCCAATAATAAACACATTACCTCAAAAAAAAGATCTTTTCAAATAATTAAAAAACTTCTTCAGATCATACATGAGAAAACAAACTAAAATCCCCAGTAAAACAAAACCCAAGTAGAGTTCAAAGAGCTAGGAAGGATACGCAATTTGTATCCGCGTTTGGCCATGGGAAAGAGACGGCTGATCGAGCACCGACGGAATCCGCCGTTCCACCGCCGCAGAGCAGAAACCCACGGGAATGTGATATGATCAGACCCACCTCAACAGAAACTGGAATTCGGAAATGGAAATCACTGTCAAGATCACAGCTGAGGGAAGCTCCAAGAATGAAAACAAAACAAAAAACAAAAAACAAAAAGAAAATTTGTGTTTCTTTTTTTTTTGTTTGAAAAAACTTAAACGAGTCGGTAGAAGACTTCGTACGACTTCTTCGTTGAGAATCGAGTTCACATTTCATACATTATTATTTACTCGGAAAAATAAATAAAAATAATGGAGTAAATAAAAGGGAAGCTTTACTTGCTTCTCTTGCTGGTTTTACCAGGTTCCTTTCCTTCACACTTCGCCAAACTCCCCGCTGGTTTTTTCTTTCTTTTTCTTTTACTCCGTATTGATTATTATTCACTTTATATAATTCCACTTAGTTTTATTAAATAAAATTAAGAAGGTAGACTTCAAAACCTTTTCAAAATGCGGAAAAAATACTAAAGGTAATCTTTAATCACAATAACAATAATGTACTTGATTCTTAGAGTTTTGGAACGATATGTGTACATAGATATTGCTCTTGTCGAAACAATTAATCTCAAATAAAATGGAGATTTTAGACAATACCCATTAACATAATGGATCTTCTTTTGTAACTTTTAAGTTTTATATTTTTAACTCTATATTCTAGATATATAAATTTCAAACTATTATTTTGGACTTGAGAATAGAGTTACAAAACTTCAAAATTTTTAAAATTACTATCGCATTCAATTACCAAATTTCAAATTCTAATTAAAATTAAGACTACAACATTTTTTATACTAATAGGATGAGACTCATTCTCGATAGCACGGTCACTGAGATAAGGTAAATTACGAAGCACTCCGTATTAAAAAAATGTAAATGTGCTAAATCACCTTAAATAGGATTAAAACATAGAAAAAAAGTACCAAAATAGGACTTTCATGTTTTTTTTCCGAAATAGGACTTTACACTTTGGTAATTTGACTTTGCACTGTGGTAATGTGGCAGTGTACATGTACACATTACTATACTTTTTTGGTAATGTATATGACCGTGTTTGGTAATGTAAGTCCTATTTCGGGGAAAAAAACATGGAAGTCCTATTTTGGTATATTTTCAATGTTTTAGTCCTACTTTAATCTTTCTCCCTTCACAAAAACAGAAAAAAATAAAATAAAACAACAACAACAACAACAATAATAATAATAGTAATAGTAATAATAATTTTAATAATAAAAAAATAATGATACTCCCTTCGTCCTAAAATTAATTTCCCAATTTTACTTTTGCAGTCAAACTTTTTAAACTTTGACCGTATATTACGAAAAAATACATTGAATTTAATATAAATTTATTATCAATAGATTTATTTTGAAACATTGTTTTGAAATATATTATTTTTATAATATATATTCATATAAAAATGGAGATATTGATTGTCAAAGTGCTGCGTTGTATTTATTTTGAAACATAGTTTTGAAATATATTGTTTTTATAATATATATATACTTATATAAAAACGGCAAGGAATTGATATTGATGATCAAAGTATTGCATTGGAGATCGTGAAAAGTCAAATAATAATAATAATTGTTTGATGGTTGTCAAAAAAAAGTGTTTGATGAGTTCCAAAAAGCTAAAAATGGAGCCAAAGGCCTCTAATTACGAACTTGATTTGATTACCCAATTAGTTCCACCTTACTGACTTTTTTGCATTCTTTTTCCCACTTTGGATTGGCATTTTCCACTTCTAAAATGGTAGCACCATAATGCTATTGCTAGCTACTTACATGTGATTATCCCATTTTATGTGGCCCACACATCTTAATATTTTTATCTTATCTTAATTTTAACCTTAATTTAATACTACCTCCATTCTAAAAGTCATATATCATTTCAAACAACGTGTAAAATTATACTCCGTATTTATTTTAAAATTATTTATTTTACAAATTTTGATAGAGAAATAAAAAGTTCAAATTACATATTTTAAAAATATTAAAGTTCTATAAGACAAGATACAATAAAAATATTTTATTTTATCAAATATGGAGTAATCAATAAAAATATATAGATAAATAAAAAATAGATATTTCTAAAAAATATCGCAACTAAAACATGATTTTTAGGATGGGGTGTATTTAATAGGAAAATACCTATAGTTATGCTCTGTATTAGGAAAACAATTTTCGAAACTGGTTTTCTATCCAAAGAGCTTAATTTCCTAATTCTATGAACGCTTCAAGACCAAAAAATTGTGTTTGTTGAGCTTGATGAATAGCAGGGAATGGATGAAAAAATGTTGGCCTTGGTTACAAATATTTTTTTCAAATAGTGTTTTGGAACATTTTTTTACGTACAAATTAACTTTGAAAATGTTAAATTTAAACGATAATGTTAGATAATCTTTTTAAAACATTAAATCTAATTAAAGTAGTCAATAATAGTTTATCAATTTGTGATTTGCTGCTTCTATTTCCTCTTTTAATTTTTTTTCCTTTGGGAAATTTGTACTCTGTATTAATTACACTTAGATATGATAACAAACATTTTATAAAAAATAATTTGGAATCATGGTTGATGACAATGATCGATGAAAAAAAATTTAATTGGTTGAGTGAATGGTCATACCTTTAGCTATAACTTATTTTTAATTGAAAATCTGAAATCTAATGGTTAAAGAGTAGTGTATGAATACTACATTTATTTTAGGGTGAGAATATATGTTTTTTACTTTCCAATGCTATGTATATTCATTTTAATTAGTGTCACTCCCTAATTATATTTTGAAATATAAAAACTTTTTATTAATCTACAACCACAAACTTGAGGTTTAGTTGAATTAATTTTTTGACATGGTATCACTAACATTATGTTTGATTCAAGAAATAATTAGGAAGGAAAAGAAAACAGTTTCTCCCCTTTTCTTAACCAAATATTTTGAATACTACATTATGTTTGCTTCCATTTGTTTTCACTTTTCCTCTCTAACCAAACAAGAAAAAAAATTCATTATCATTCTCTTTTCTTTTCCTTTTCAAATTCCTTGAGCTAAGCATAGTGGATGAAGAATTCTTGTCGAAGAATTTGTGCGGCATTTTGAACATTTGTACATGAAATTCTTACCGCATTGTGTCACTTTGGCAATTTACGTCAACTTTTAACACATTTTACCACTGCTTTCAAGATTCCGCAACGCAGAGAGTAAAACTCTTCTTTGATAAAAATGTATATAATGCTTTTCAGCTTCTTGTTTTTGTGGTCTAAAGGATCCATAACCAGAGGAGAGTACAATAATGCCATTGAAGTATGAAAGCAAATCACCAGAATATACAGGAGAAATAAATTGAAGCGTATGCAAATTCATCAAATCTTCAATACACGAGAGAATGATATCTACATTCTTTGCTCTTGCATGAACTAGAGAAACATTCGCTTGGTGCCTCAGCCACTACATGTAAGAAACTGTGAATGTATCCACACAACACTCTCTCGGTTCGTGTCCTCACTCAATGGTCTCCCCTACGTCATGTGTAGCAGATTTTGCACGATTTCAGACATAGGAGGCCTGAATTCTGGCTCCGGCTGTCCAATTCAAACATATGATATTAAATCTTTAAAGAAAAAAGCTGTGAAGGAATTAAAAACGTGAAGGAATTCACGCACACAAGTGAGTTTTGATGATGTATTCCAATAGTCAAATATTAATACGCACTTAAGCATCTGTTTGTATTTGAATTTGAAATATTAATATGGTGCATAATGTCTTAGTTTCCTTGTAATGTCCAAGATGTCAATCTATATTCCATACATGTTTTGTCCTGATTTTGGATCTTAGTGTCCCAGCTTTCATTTATTCCTAAACTAGTGTAGGACTGTAGGTTGACTAGGTCCATGTTTTAAAGTTCTTTCCAGGCTGAAAGCATTGTGTCCAGATATTTCCTCATTTGATGGACAAGTTTTTATTTTTTTTTTCAAATCTTGCTTCCTTTTTTGTTGTGGACTTGTGGATGCCTATTTGAAGTGAATTGTGAAGTATATAAAAGAGTTTGTGTGTTGGTGCACCATTATATGCTTTTGTGGTAGGTACAAGAGAAGATCACCTTAATCATTAACACTTCACAATTTTTTTGAGGGTATTATGTTGTTAAATGTTTTTATTTTCTTGTTGGGAAAATTCCATTTATGAAGGATCAAAATCCAGGTGCATTTATTTAGTTCCAATCTAAAAATACTTTTGCAGGCACCAATTTGAGTAAATGTAACGAAAAAAGAAAATAAAGCTGACCTGAACACACAAGGAAATTATGTCAGCAAACCGAGATAAAGACTTGGACGGATATGCCCCAGCTAGAGAAGGATCAACCATTCTGGATAATGCATCTATATCATGAAGCTTCAAGACTGCCCATCTAACCAGAACCTGTTCGCCTGGAGGTCGTGACCTAGAAATTGGAATTTGAGTTTATAGATTGCTTGCTAATTGCCTTGTTAACACTTGATGCACTCACAACTCACAAGCACTTCTTATTTGGCTTAGATGTTTATTTAATAGAATCCATGCTCAAATGAATGCTACCTGTCATATGATTTCCTCCCTGTAAGTAGCTCTAATAGAACAACTCCAAAGCTGTAAATATCACTCTGATAAGTATAGCTTCCCAGTTCAAGTTCTGGTGCACCATAACCACAACCTTGCAGCTGAAGCATCAGAATACATGATTTAATTGAAGTTAACAACAATTGAATTCTCTTGAAATTTTAGTTCTATTACAAAAAGGATGTGATTTTTTTATAATGTACGGAGTATTACCACAGCCAGGGACTTAGATGGCATAAGAAAAGCCAACCCGCAGTCTGAAACGTGCACATTGAGTTTTTCATCTAGAAGGACATTAGCAGATCGAAAGTTCCGGTGCAAAGTTGGTTGGGGGCAGACCTCATGCATATACCTTTAGGTTTTAAAAAATTAATGGATAAGTTTGTAAATACAACAGCGTAAAATATTCTGTGTTTATTCAATTAAAAAAATATATAATGGAAGTGTATTGGGTGTATTCTACTACATTAAACTTACTCTAGTGCTCTAGCAGCTTGAAGTGCAATCCGTACTCGAACATTCCACGAAAGTTGTCTATGCATATCATCATCCATGTGTAATGCATCATAAAGGGTGCCATTATTGCAATACTCATAAACTAGTAGCTTTTGACCATGTTCTAGAGAGTAGCCCACAAGTTTAACAATGTTATCGTGTTTAAGTCCTGAGATTGCAGAGATCAGCTTAGCAAATTCTTCATCAGTTTGACACCTTGCCACATCTTTATCCAATTTCTTGACTGCTAACAGCTGAACAATAGAACT